GCCGCAGACAGGTGGGTCGCGGGCGCTGTGACGCCTCCACACCTCGAAGCGTCTACGGCGTGGCCCACGGGGGCCGCAACGCCACCGCACCTTGCCGCGTCTCCGTTGTGGCCTACGAGTGCCGCAACGCAGCCCACACTCGCCGCGTCTCCGGTGTGGCCTACAAGTGCCGCAACGCAGCCGCCCATCGCCACGTCTGCGGGGTGGCCCGCGGGTGCCGCGGGGCTTCGACACCTCGCCGCACCGCACGGCCAAGGACTGCGCCGGTTGCACCCACGTCGCACTGTTAGTCGCAAAGGTGGGCGACTGGTTGGCCTTCCAGGACCGGTTCGACGCGATGTATATGTCGGTCGGCTGGCCCATGGAGGAGGCATTGCGGGCCCTTCCGACCCGTTTGGATGAGAGGGCGCTGCAGGCTTTCAAGTCAATCCCACCAGTCGATAAGTCTACGCTTCTGGCGGCGTATATTCAGATGGCCAACGTCTTCGAGCCACCGTCCAGTGCGTGCCTGAAGTTCTCGCTACGGCGGCGGGAGGAGGGGGAACTGCCATTGGCCTTCCGCTGTTCGCTCCTGGCCTGGCACAGGCCGCATACCCTGACCTGGAGGGCAGAGCACTGGACTCGATGGCCCTGGAACGGCTACTTGACCTGGCACGGGAGCTGGGGATCGCTTTGTCGATCAACAACGATCGCCAGATCACGTCCTTGGCGGTGGCCGAGAACATTCAGACACACCTCTCCCTCCGCCAACAGCCCTAGATGGCGCGGGGGTCCCGGCACCAGAGGGGAGAGCCGTCTCTCAGGGAGTGGACACCCTCGCAGCCCTGGCAAATCCTGAGCATCGCGGGAGGGATGCGGGTCGCCGTCCGGAGCAGCGGGGGCGGCCGGGACCTTCCCATCCGCAGGACGCTGCCACTGTGGCCTGCGTCCGCTGTGGCCAGCAGGGCCACATTGAGCGGGGCTGCCAGAATGCCCCGGGAGCCTTCAACAAGCTGCCTCCGGCCCCTCCCGGTCCCTCGTCAGCATCGGGCCCCAAACCCCAGACGAGTCGCGACGTATCACCCGCACGGCCGCTCCCCTCACCTCATGCATCTAGTGGGGCTAGGGCCCATCGTCATGGGGTTGTCCTTGAGGGGTCGGGTGCACCATCGTTGTCACCCGCTGGGTGGTTGGACATGCTTGTGCACCGGATGGAGGCGGTGGCTGCTGGCTCCTCAGCGGTGGCGGGATGCGTGCAAGGGGTGGAAGTTCACTTTTTGGTGGATACGGGTGCATCTGCCACTATTATTTCGGAGGCCATCCTCGAGCTACTACCCCCGCAGCGTGGGTCCATTAAGGCCGGTTCATGGGGTTTGTGTCGCCGCGAACGGCGGCAATTTAGACACCTTGGGCCACGTTATAGCATCGGTTCGGGTTGACGAGATTGAGTTGGCCGGGCCTATTTTGGTCTCCAAGACCTTGGCATTCCCATGCCTCTTGGGGACCGACTTTTCGTCTAGAATGCCCATTCGAATTCTCGTTGACCAGGTATGTGTGTAAATGCCGTCAGGAAGGCGGTTCTTTTCGACTCTAAACTTGCTCTCCGGCTTCTGGCAGTTGCAACTGGACGAGACCTCTAGACCCAAGACAGCGTTCCGCACGCCCCAGGGGTTGTTCGAATTCAATCGGCTTAATATGGGTCTTCATCCGGCCCCAGCCACCTTCCAGCGTCAAGGAGATGGTCTTGGTGGACGACGTCATTGTTTTTGGCCGTACGTTTGACGAGCACTTGCAACGCCTTGAGTCTGTGTTCGTCAAAGTGCGTGCTGCGGACTTTAAATTTAACCCCAGAAATGCCATTTGCTACAACCATCGATGAAGTATTTGGGACACATTGTTAGTACGTCAGGTGTCGCCACGAATGCGGAGAAAACAACTTGTGTCTGGACGTGGCCGACTCCCACATCTGTCGCGGAGGTGTGTAGCTTCGTCGGCTTCACATCGTACTATCGTCGGTTTGTTCGCGATTTTGCGACAATTGCGAAGCCGCTGCATGCACTCTCCGCCAAAGGCCAAAGGTTTCACTGGGGCGCGGAGGAGGACGCTGCTTTTGCGGTGCTTCGCACGGCCTTGGCAGATGCGCCGCCCTTGGGGTACCCGGATTTTTCTAAACCATTCCTTCGACACCGATACCAGTGACATGGGCATTGGAGCAGTCCTGGCCCAGGTGGTCGACGGGGTTGAGAGGGTGGTGGCATACGGAAGTCGTGTTCGGTCCCCGACGGAGCAGCGATAGTGTCACCCGGAGGGAAGTGCTGCCCATAATGTTTTGTTCCGTTATATAGGCCTTACTTGTACGGCAGATGGTTCACGGTCCGAACCGACCATGCGGCCCTACAATATTTGCTGATGATTATCCAGTGGCCCAGTTGGTCGCTTCGGCCAAGGCGGCCACCCCTCCAGGTGCGGCGTTGCCTGCGGATGTCGGCCTAGGACTCCCCAGAGAGCTATGGTCCAGCTTGCAGATGGAGGATTCCTCTCTGTGTTGGGCGTAAGGCCCGGAGCTCAGCTTCGTTGGCGGCCCCGGCGATCACCGTGCATGACCGTCTCTTCATGCGTTGGGATGCTACTGTGTGGTTGTGCCCACTAGCCTGCGTGGAAAATTAACCCGAGCCATTCACAAGAAGTTTATGCACCCTGGCTACCACAAGACCTTATTGACCCTTAAGCGGGACTATTACTGGCCGGGTGTAGAGGGTGATGTGGCGCTAATTTTCAAGGGTTGCCACGACTGTGTGCAGAGAAAGGCCCCAGTTGTCCAGGACCGGGCCCCGCTGCAGTCCATCTGGGTTTCTCGCGTTAATTTGCTTGTGGCGTTTGACATTTTGGGCCCATTCCCTGCATCCCAACGGGGCCATAAATACCTCTTGGTGGGCGTTGAGTACCTCACACGTGGGCCTGTGGCGTGGCCTTTGGTTAATCAGTCGGCCTCCTCTATCACCAAGGCGTTCGTCCAGGGGTACGTGTTGGACAAGGGTGCGCCGGAACAATTGTTAACTGACCAGGGGTGGAATTTCTCGTCTAGGTTTCTCAAGGATGGTGTGAACTCCTGGGCACCAAGAACATCTGCACCTCGGCCTACCACCCCCAGTCAGACGGGATGGTAGAGCGGTTGAACCGCACCCTCAGGTCCATGCTATGCCACCACGTGAACACGTCCCAGTCGGACTGGGGCCTGTTCGTCCCGGGGGTCTTGGAGGCATATCGGTTGGCCCCTCACGCCTCAGTGGGATTTTTGCCTTTTTGTTTGATGTACGGTAGGGAACCGGAACCCCCAGTGCACGTCCAGATGGACGTTGGGTCTTCCAAGAAGGGGTCGGCGGTGCCGGTCCCTTTGAAGGTCGCACTTGACCGGTTGCGCGAGGCACGGCAGGCCGCTACTGAAAATTCCGCCAGCCGGCAGGCGGCTAATGAGTGCCTGCCCAAACACCAGGCAGCTGGTCTCCTGTGGGTGGCGGGCCAAAAGGCATGGCTACATTTCCCCCAGGATCCCATTGGCACGTTTCCCAAATTACATCGCCCTTGGCAGGGCCCCGTTGAGGCTGTGGAGGTCCGACGACCGCAGCGCATCCGGATTCGGTTCGGTCGCCAGCGGTGGATTGTGCACCCGTCCCGGCTCAAGCGTTATGTACCATCTAGCCTGGGGGACCCACCCCCACTCCCGGAGCGGCCGGCGGGTGATGCATCCGTCGTGCCTGACCGGCCGGGTCTCGTTGACGGAGGCGACGTCCGCCCTGTGTGTGTGCCCCCAGGCCCCTCCCAAGTAAGGCCAGCGGAGACCCCTCGGCCACCAGAGGCCACGGCGGTGGGCCCTTCGCCCGCTAACGGACCACCTGCACGGGCGGCGGACGCTACACGAGGAAGCGGGCCGGCAGCGCATACCCGCTCGAGGGGGATGCGGCTCCGGTGATGGCCTTTGTGGCTGTTCAGCAGGCCCTGGCCCGGCGTCAGTTCGGCGCTGCTGGGCAGAAGAGGCCTTCGTTCTCTCTCTGTTTTTTCTGTTGTTGTGCCTGTGGTGCCGTGCTGCCCTAAGGTTGAGTTAATTTCTAGTAGCCGGTTTTGCCTTCAGGCACAAGCATTTTGTTAGTTGTTCGGCCTTCAGTCCGGGTTTGGGCCCTGCTTGCGTTGTGGTTGCAGCCGGGTCGGCTGTTTTTTTTTTCACGGGGGGTGGAGGGGGTAATGTAGAAGAGTAAAATATGGAAGTGGCGTCATGGGACGTGATGTCATGCGCGCTGGGCGGCACAATGACGTCATGTCTCCTCTAGTACTTAAGGGGGCCCACCCCGTGACGTAAGCGGGGTCGTAGCTGGAATCTAGGGTCGGAGTAGGGTGGAATGGGGAGCCAGGAGCAAGGGGGTAGGAATAGGGGATAGCACAGCGCCAGGGCTGGAGGTGACTGCGCTCCTCAGTCGGCCGTGTTGGCTGAACCCACGGCCGGCGCAGAGGAGGCAGCACGGGGCAGCCGGCTGTGTCGGGAACCAGTGGGACCGAGCCCGGGACCCCTAACCCCTGAGAAATTGTTACACCCATGTGTTATTTGCCATATCCTAATAAACCTTCCGGCGAATGCCCTTAACCTTCACGTCGTCTCCGAGTCGTCGTCGACTAGTTCTCTACACTAGTATACACAATACACCACACTATAATTGTGAATGTAGCAGTGGGTTTACTCTGCAACAGACAACCGGTTAGTGCTGGACTAGTATACACAATACACCACACTATAAATGTGAATGTAGTAGAGGGTTTACTCTGCAACACACAACTGGTTAGTGCTGTACTAGTAACAAATTGGCACGTTTTGTTCACGTGATAGAACCTCGATAATTGGCTGCGTTGGGTTGTGGTGGAGGCGGGTTTAACCCACGCACATTTATATTCATGCGATCTAACTTTAAAAAATCCTCTTATCGTGGTCGCGAAAGCACTACTACCAGGTGTTAAACTCACGTCCGACTTACCATCTCGCTGGGGTGGGTGAACAGGAGGTAGATGCCGGGCAGCTTGTCGTCCGAGTCCACCTTGAAGGGGTGGTGGACGCCCTGCAGCCGCTCGAGCCCCTGGACAAACAGGCTGCCTGCGAGTCCAAACAACGACGCAGCCACCGATTGACCCGACAAAGAGAAGAAAAGAGGGAAAAGTATTCAAGTAACATTCGTGGGTATTTCATGAAACTTATTCTTAGGTTTGTTCGGTAAAGTCACGTAGGTAAAAAAATTCAATTAAAATTAATAAAAGTAAAATAAAATAAAAATCACGACGTTTCGGAGGCAACACAAGCCTCCGTCTTCAAGTGGAACCGTCACAGCACGATAGCTGTATCAAGTAAGAGAAATTCCAAGAAAACAGTCCTTGTATATATACTGGTTGAGGGTGGGAGGAGCCAAGGTAGGCCCTGGATATTAATATTGTGAGGTTCGGTGCGGCTGAAGCACGCTGTTAGGAATGAGCCTTTGTTGTGTAGACTGGTTGAAAAGAGTTGTTAAGGTGAGGCTGATGTAAAGGTGCGTGTAAATGGGACTGAGGCTTTTGTTATGTAGAGGTGGTGAGGCTGAAACCGCTGCCAGGAGTGAGTCTTTGTTGTGTAGACTGGTTGAACTGGGAGGTTCTAAGAGTTGTTGAGGTGCGGCTGCTCTGAATGGAACTGAGTTTTGCCATGTTTCAGATCTGACTTGTGCTCGCGGGCACGATCAGAGATATGACGTTTCGTTTCTCCAATGTAGCAATCACCACAACTGCAACTCAATTTGTAGACTCCAGGGTATTGTAAGTCAGGAATGACATCTTTCACAAATGGAATTAGATCACGGATTTTATGTACTGTACTGAATTGGACTAGGATCTTATGTTTGTTTAGAATTTTGGAGATCTTTTTGGTCACGCCTGCTATGTATGGCAACGTGATAGTTTTGATAGGAGTTTCATGTGGCTGTTTCTGTATGGTGGGAGAAACAGTTTGGCGGATGGTGCGGTCAGAGTATCCGTTCATCCTGAGGACCCGATGTACATTCACTGGGCAGGTGGTGTTGGGTCAGAAATGCCATGAGCTCTGTGGTATAGCGTTTTGATGAGAGAATTCTTTTGAGATGGGTGGTGGTGGGAATCAGGTTTCAAGTAGGAATCTGTGTGGGTGGCTTTCCTGTAGACAGAATGTCCCAAGGATCCGTCAGGTCTCTGCTCAAACAGAACATCTAAGAATCGTAGTTTACCATCTTTCTCCACTTCCATGGGGAATCTGATGGATGGGTGTCTGGAATTGATGTGGTCCAAGAAGTGGTTCAATGCTGGGAGGCCATGTGGCCAAATGACGAAAGTGTCATCCACATACCTCTTCCACAGGGAAGGACGCAGGGTGGATGTCTGGATGGCGTCTGATTCAAACTTTTTCATGAACATGTTGGCTATCACTGGTGACAAGGGGGAGCCCATAGGGATACCCTCATTCGTCGTGATTTTTATTTTATTTTACTTTTATAAATTTTAATGCTTTACCTACGTGACTTTACCGAAAAAACCTAAGAATATGAATCCTTGCAGTCACGAAAGCTTCAAATCTAGAATTTAATGAAACTGTTCACGAGATTGTGCAAGTATAAATGTGTCCGTTAACCTGCCACCACCCCCGTGGAGCCTTAACAGCAAGTTGGGGCAAATGCTGTTAGCCAGCACCTATGAAGTCCGGCACGGCACACGAGGGGGTGGGTGGCGATGTTTACTACACACCGCTACACCAGGTACTCATTTGAGACCAAGTCGATCTAGGATAGGCCCAGAACCGCCACAACAACACACACAGACACTGCCCACCATGCATATGCAAACACACTGCCCACCACACACACACAGATGGACGGACACATGCACACACACATGCAAACACACACTGACGGACAAACACGCGCGCGCACACACACACACACCACCCGTCACACACACTGCCTCGCACACACACGCACGGACACACCGCCCGTCACACAAACATAGGTACACCGCCCATCTCACGCACACACACAAGAATCCACCCCCCGTCACACACACACGCACGCATGCCCACACATGCACGCACACGTGTCCTTGTTGAGCAGCAGGTGGGCGTGTTGCAGCATCTCCATGAAGGGCAGCTTGAGCGAGGCCTGCAGCTCCATGACGGAGTACGCGGTGACCAGCTCGATGTCGTCACCACCACGGTCACTACCGCGGCAATCATCGCCGCCGCCTGTCCCTTGCAGCAACGACCGCAGCTGCCTGAGCACGCGAGCCTCCTCCAGCAGCCACAGTGGCTGCGGCAGAAGCAGGGGTCAAGGCGCCAACAATGACTTTCGCTGTGTCGTATTCGTCATATGTCATCGTCGCCATCATCATTGTTGTTGCGTTTACGAATCGGCAACCTCTACTTGTACCGGAGGAAGAATCCGATGAGCCGTAAAGCTCTTTGTTTATCACAGATGTTCTGTTAAGTGGGGGTGGCACACGAGGGTCAGAAAATTTACAATGACAAACGCGACACAAAAACACGGTGGGAGTGCAAAGTATAGGAAAGGTAAGAAAATCACTAAAAATAAATAACAATCACATTTTTATTTTACTGGGTAAGAGCCACCGAGCTATTAGCTCTGCCACAAATGACAGCAGCTCACAATGCTTGCTGTATACAGGTAGTCCTCTACTTACGATGGAGATGCGTTACGACGACCCCATCGTAAGTCAAAAATATCGTAAGTCGAAGATGGCCTCGCCTACCCAGGAGTCTTAAAGAAAGGTGATAATTTAGCAAAACAGAGCAATTAACAGTACCGTACTGTATAAACAATATACTGTATTTATTAATTACAATACTGTATTGCACAGTGAAATGTAAAGTAAAAAAAACTAAAGTAAATTCTTAACCTACCTATATGAACTGCAATTTAACAGAAAGTTTTTTCAGGAAACAATCCTATCTGCTATAAAAACTTTTAACATGCATTGAACGTATCGCATCGTGGTAACCCTAAAATGTAATCGCTAAAGCTACGTATCATACATGCATTGAACGTATCGTAACGCATCATATTGTACTGTACTCACCAAGATTCGTACGCTACTGCGTTTGCCTGCCGCACGAAATTTAAAATATTTTACAATTTTGTCGCATCGCTATCGCCAGATCGAAATATCGTAAGTCAGACCATCGTAACTCGGGGACTATCTGTATCATCATCACCACGTGGAAATTAACAGCAGCTAAAACAATCGAAGTAACATTCATGGAGGTGCCACGGTGGCTAGGAGATTTTTACTCCCCCGCCTCGGTATGCAGGAGGGTCGTGGGTTTGATCCCGACCCTGACGCCCGCTGTATATTTGGCGTTTGCGGTGTCTCTCTCTCTATCCCCGTGGTGGTCACATGGATTTGTATCCAAGTCCTCCAGGTTTTCCCCCTCCCCATTTAGAATTGACATCACGCGTTTAGAGGATTTGGCTGCTGCTATAAACTTCCACGTGAGGATGAGCCACTTCGTCGGACTATCATTTGTAATATCATTTGTGATAGCCCGACAAAGTTTGGGCTACCTGGCAATCACTTGTGATGGCTAGGTCGCTTCTGAAAAAGAGCGATATAGCAGCTCAATCGGCCTTACCTAGTAAAATAAAAAATATTTTACTTCAGGGTAAGAGCGGTAGCTACTACTACCGCCCCGTTATAGGATGACCAGACCGCATAGCCGAGTCAGCGCCCTCCCTCCCCACCCACCTGGGCCCTGTCCGCCGGCACAACTCCCTCACCTGGCGGAGGTGTGGCGAGGCGGAGAGCAGGATGGCACGCGCGCTGTGGTACTCGGAGAGGCAGTCGCGGCAGTACTGCAGGTCCTCCTCGGCGGCCAGCGCCCGCCGCTCGGGCAGCCGGCCCCGCGCGTACGCTCGCAGCAGCCGCACCGCGTCGGCGCTCGGCCCTCCGTCGGCGTCGTCGTCGTCGGTGTCGGCGTCGTCCTCCCCCTCATCGCCTCCGTCGCGCCGCGTGCTCGCGCCGGAGTCGTCGCCGCACTGCAGCCAGTACTGCTGCTGCTGCGGGGTGCACCAGTGACAGGTGCTCATGGTGTTTGCTGGGGGACGTGGAAGAGAGGAGAGGCAGATTTAATTTGAGGACTTAAGGGAGGCAGTCACTTCCTCCTCCTCCGGTCGTGCGGCTGACGTGGATGCAGAGCGGTACCAACAATTTTGCGCTGCGCGCGCAGACGTCAAACTTCGCTGGTACCGTAATGTAGAGCCAACCGCGCTCTTCGGAGGTGCGGGGGAAGGACAACAAACTCAACACATAAAGCAGTTCTAAAGAAACTAGTTTTAAATTTTGTATAATAGTGTATAGTGTAGTGTATAGTGTAGTAGTGTATAATAGTGTAGTACAGCGGTCGGGAACCTATGGCTCGCGAGCCATATATGGCTCTTCCAGTGACGGCATATGGCTCCCAAGCAATTTTGAGTTGAAAAAAATAATAATAATGAAAAAACTAAAAATCAGTTTGGAACTGATTTTAAAATACTTGTGATATTGTTTAATGATACTGTGTCATTTTAAAGTAAACAGAAATTAGTTTTGAAGATAAATTTCACGGGTCACGCCTGCATGAAGCTCAACCTCACCACGTATGAACCAGACTACAAGGCCATCAGCAAAACCATGCAGCACCAGAAGTCGCATTAAAAGTAAGACATATTTAATTTAGTAAACGTTAAAAATACTATATGGCTCTCAATGAAATATATTTAGAAATATTTGGCTTTTATGGCTCTCCCAGTCAAAAAGGTTCCCGACCCCTGGTGTAGTAGTATATAATAGCGTAGTGTAACATGTGTAGTGTAGTGTGTATATAGTGTAGTGTGTATAGTGTAGTGCTTGTAGTGTAGTGCGTGTAGTGTAGCATGTGTAGTGTAGCATGTGTGGTGTAGTGTGTGTAGTTTCATGTCTGCCAAAAACAACCCCCCCTACCTCCCCGTGGTGCCGGATGGGCAACGTTGTCGTGGACAGTGCTGTGGGGGGAGGGAGGGCCAATTCTGATTGGCCTTTCCCCTCAGGGCGTTTGTGACCACCACAGCGGCTAATCAGGAGCTCTGGATGGGTGCGAGGGGCTGGTAACCCCTCCACCTTCAATAAATTAGCACTAAACCACGTGAAAAATATCAAATTTATAAGCTTGTGCCGGAGGCTCCGGGGGGACAGGCGTCTATGATGTATCCTGGCCAAACCCCATCTGGCGGAGCCAGGAGATTGAATCTTTACCCTCGGGGCTACTCGAGAAACAACAAAAAGCCACTACGTGTGGCCACGTAGAATGTTTGAACGCTCACTGCGGAGAAGAGGCTTTCACGCCTCTGTCGGGAGCTGGACCGGTACCGCCTGGATCTCTGTGGCATTCAGGTCCGTTGGACCAGCTCTGGCTCCTGTCACCATGAGGGGTGGAAAGTCCTCTACTCGGGGCAGGAGATTGCCAAACAACAGGGTGTGGCTCTTCTTCTGAACAAAAAAATTAAGGGGACGTGGGAATGTGGCGGTGAGGTGTGGGAAGCTGTAAGCCCCAGGCTACTTTGGGCTCGCCTTCCTATCAACCAGAGGCGAGGAGAGGTGGTGGTGGTTACTTATGCCCCCATCGAAGACGAACATCCGTGGAGGGATGCAGGCAAGGCCGATGAGTCAGATGCCTTCTATAACCTCCTGTCACAGGTGCTGGCTGAAGTGGCCCCTCGGGATAGAGTCATCTTGTTGGGCGACTTCAATGCTCGAGTTGGTCATGATGCTGGCACCTGGTCTGGAGTGATTGGAAGGCATGGGCCAGATAAGCTCAATAACAATGGTAGGAGGCTGCTAGATTTTTGTGCAGCTCATGGGCTTGAAATTACCAACATGCTGTTCCGGCATCGGCGCATTCACACAACATCATGGATGCATGCCGGGTCCAAGCAAGAACATCTGCTGGACTAAATAGTGATGGACCAGCGGATGCGAGCCCATGTCCTTGACACCAGGACCTAGCGTGGAGCTGATCTGCCCTCTGACCATCGACTTGTCATCTGTAAGATGAGCCTGCCATTCTTCCACTCCGGTGGTGGGTGTACACCCAGGACCCCATTCCAACCTAAGGTGGCCTGATCTCAGCTAGCTGATGAAAGTTGCAAGCGAGAATTTAATCATCGCTTGCGGCTGGGGTTGGCATCGTCCCCCACTCCTCCAGATGTCGAGGGTAAATGGGCGAGGTTTAGGACCGACTCATGCAGCTGCAATGGCTGCTTTGGGTACGCGGTCCAGACCTCCCCAGAGACCGACTGACTGAAAGAGGAGGTGTTCAGGAAGGTTGAGAAAAAGGGACAGGCCCACTCTACAGCATCCCACGTCAAAGAATGAGGCGACTTACCGCAGCCTTCGCTCGGAGGTTCGGAGAGCCGTGAAGCGCTGCAAGGATGGGTGGTGGTCGCGGGTTGCTGAGGAGATGGAGTCTGCTTCAATGGCCCGCGATCACAAATCCCTATTTAATTCCATCAAAAAAGTAACCTGCAGCACCACACCTATTACCATCATTAGGGGAAAGAAGGGTGATCCAATCTCCGACCCCCAGTAACAGGTTTGCAGATTTGCTGAGCATTTCTGAGGTCCTGGGGGAGGGGGAATCCCTCAGCCTGGAAAACAACATTGGACAAAGTGGGGATGACCCTGCTGAGGCTGCGGTGCCTCAAATATTGGAGGAAGAAGTCACCCCCTGTGAGTGGCTGGCTGAGGTGCCATCTGTTGAGGAAGTACTGAGGGCGATCCAGAGTCTGAGACCAGGAAAGGCACCGGGCAGAGATGATCTCCCACGCGAAATGCTCAGGGAGGGTGGCGTTTGTGCGCAGACTACCCTACATGACATCATAACAACAGTCTGGGCCACTGGACGGTTCCGCAGGACTGGAAGGATGCCCTGGTGGTCCCCCTCTTTAAGAAGGGGGACCGTACAGACTGTAACAACTACAGGGGCATCTCACTCCTCAGTGTGCCGGGAAAGGTGCTGGCAAGGATTATTCAACATCGCCTTGATAGGCACGCTGAGGAGAGGCTTGCGGAGCCCCAATGCGGTTTCAGTGGTGGGATCAGCACCATGGGACCCTCATCCGAGCCGGGTTGTAGCGGACCGGTACTGCACGTGCTATATACTGTACATGCTATAGACTGTGCATGCTATAGACTGTAGTACAGTGCTGCACTGTTATGCCATCGGTTTGCAGAGGAAGGCCCTCGCCCAGCAGTGGATTGACCATGGATGAGGATGGTGGTGATGATGGTGGTGATGGTGGTGATGATGGTGGTGATGATGGTGATCATGGTGGTGATGGTGGTGATGGTGGTGATGGTGGTGATGATGGTGATGATGATGGTGGTGATGGTGGTGATGATGGTGATGGATGGTGGTGATGGTGATGATGGTGGTGATGATGGTGATGATGGTGGTGATGATGGTGGTGATGATGGTGATGATGATGGTGGTGATGATGATGATGGTGGTGATGATGATGGTGATGATGGTGGTGATGATGATGGTGATGATGGTGGTGGTGATGATGGTGATGATGGTGATGATGATGGTGGTGGTGATGGTGATGATGGTAATGATGGTGGTGATGATGGTGATGATGATGGTGGTGATGATGGTGATGATGATGGTGGTGATGATGGTGGTGATGATGGTGATGATGATGGTGGTGATGATGGTGGTGATGATGGTGATGATGATGGTGGTGATGATGGTGGTGATGATGGTGATGATGATGGTGGTGATGATGATGATGATGGTGGTGATGATGGTGGTGATGATGATGGTGGTGATGATGATGATGGTGATGATGGTGATGATGGTGATGATGATGGTGGTGATGATGATGGTGGTGATGATGGTGGTGATGATGGTGATGATGATGGTGGTGATGATGATGATGGTGGTGATGATGGTGGTGATGATGATGGTGGTGATGATGATGATGGTGATGATGGTGATGATGGTGATGATGATGATGGTGGTGGTGATGGTGATGATGGTGGTGGTGATGGTGATGATGGTAATGATGGTGGTGATGATGATGATGGTGGTGGTGATGATGGTGATGATGGTGATGATGATGATGGTGGTGGTGATGGTGATGATGGTAATGATGGTGGTGATGATGGTGATGATGATGATGGTGGTGATGATGATGATGGTGGTGATGGTGGTGATGATGATGGTGGTGATGATGGTCATGACGGTGATGATGTGATAGTGATGTGTGATGGTGGTGATGGTGGTGGTGATGATGATGGTGGTGATGATGATGATGGTGATGATGGTAACTTTTCTCAAAGTCGCGTACAGTATACAACTGGCTGCACGCGCGCGCCGTTTACAGTGCGAGCGCAGTACACAGCGCATACAGTGTGCACGGCGCGTACAGTGTGCACGGCGCGTACAGTGTGCACGGCGCGTACAGTGTGCACGGCGCGTACAGTGTGCACGGCGCGTACAGTGTGCACGGCGCGTACAGTGTGCACGGCGCGTACAGTGTGCACGGCGCGTACAGTGTGCACGGCGCGTACAGTGTGCACGGCGCGTACAGTGTGCACGGCGCGTACAGTGTGCACGGCGCGTACAGTGTGCACGGCGCGTACAGTGTGCACGGCGCGTACAGTGTGCACGGCGCGTACAGTGTGCACGGTGTAAAAGTAAACTCACAGCGCGGTCTCGGCGCAGGGCCCAGGCGATAGGCGCGGACGAGAGAGGCGCCTCTGTGTCGCCTCCTCGACTTCTATCATCCAGCCCCGCCGGACGGGACGACTCTCGCCGCTCTCTCTCTCTCTCGCGCGACTTCTCGAGACAGCGAGACACGGAGAGACACACACGGAGAGACACACAGAGGCACCCACACACAGCGAGAGACACGCAGATACACACACAGATACACACAGAGAGACACACAGAGAGACACAGAGAGGCACCCACACACAGCGAGAGACACACAGATACACACACAGATACACACAGAGATACACACAGAGGCACCCACACACAGCGAGAGACACACAGATACACACACAGATACACACAGAGAGACACACAGAGAGACACAGAGAGGCACCCACACACAGCGAGAGACACACAGATACACACACAGATACACACAGAGATACACACAGAGAGACACAGAGAGGCACCCACACACAGCGAGAGACACACAGATACACACACAGATACACACAGAGAGGCACCCACACACAGCGAGAGACACACAGATACACACACAGATACACACAGAGAGACACACAGAGAGACACACAGAGAGACACACAGAGAGACACACAGAGAGGCACCCACACACAGCGAGAGACATACAGATACACACACAGATACACACAGAGAGACACACAGAGAGACACAGAGAGGCACCCACACACAGCGAGAGACACACAGATACACACACAGATACACACAGAGAGACACACAGAGAGACACAGAGAGGCACCCACACACAGCGAGAGACACACAGATACACACACAGATACACACAGAGATACACACAGAGAGACACAGAGAGGCACCCACACACAGCGAGAGACACACAGATACACACACAGATACACACAGAGAGACACACAGAGAGACACAGAGAGGCACCCACACACAGCGAGAGACACACAGATACACACACAGATACACACAGAGAGACACACAGAGAGACACAGAGAGGCACCCACACACAGCGAGAGACACACAGATACACACACAGATACACACAGAGAGACACACAGAGAGACACAGAGAGGCACACACACACAGCGAGAGACACACAGATACACACACAGATACACACAGAGAGACACACAGAGAGACACAGAGAGGCACCCACACACAGCGAGAGACACACAGATACACACAGAGAGACACACAGAGAGACACAGAGAGGCACCCACACACAGCGAGAGACACACAGATACACACACAGATACACACACAGATACACACAGAGAGACACAGAGAGGCACCCACACACAGCGAGAGACACACAGATACACACAGAGAGACACACAGAGAGACACAGAGAGGCACCCACACACAGCGAGAGACACACAGATACACACACAGATACACACAGAGAGACACACAGAGAGACACAGAGAGGCACCCACACACAGCGAGAGACACACAGATACACACACAGATACACACAGAGAGACACACAGAGAGACACAGAGAGGCACCCACACACAGCGAGAGACACACAGATACACACACAGATACACACAGAGAGACACACAGAGAGACACACAGAGGCACCCACACACAGCGAGAGACACACAGATACACACACAGATACACACAGAGAGACACACAGAGAGACACAGAGAGGCACCCACACACAGCGAGAGACACACAGATACACACACAGATACACACAGAGAGACACACAGAGAGACACAGAGAGGCACTGGGGACACTTTCGCGTGCTGCGGCTCCGGGCTAAGAGCGCTCGCGCTGTGGCAGCAGCAGCGGCGCCCTCGTGGCCGGGCGCTCGCGATTGGCCAGAGCGGCGAGCCACGTGACGAGGCGGAGGCCGCCACCAAAGGCAAAGGTGGCCCGCATAGCCTCCAGGGGATTTAGGGGCAAGTGCTGTAGGCAAAGGTGGCCCGCGTAGCCTGTAACAGGCTGTAGGGGCAAGTGCTGTTAGCGAGCAGCGCCTTTGACGGCCGGCACGGCACACGAGGGGGTGGGTGGCCAACAGCGCGCACGCCCGGTCGCCTTTGTCTCCCCAGTGGCGATCTTTACTACACACCGCACCAGGTACTCATTGGAGGCCGAGTCGACCTAGGGGAGGCCCAGGACCTGTTCAAGATAATAGCCGTCACTAGTAGCGCGCAGCGCGCTAACCGTTGCACCACCGCTCCCCCACCGATACCACAGAGACGTCACCACGGCGCCCGTGCCAGGCTAGGTGCACTTTGAGGCTATCACGTGAAGCGTTGAAGGCTCGCTGACCAGGAGGTCTCGGGACAGACCCTGCAGGTGCCACGGGTCGACTGACTGAGATGACCGGTAGATGCACACCAGCTCTACCCCCTACTGTGCCAGGCTAGGTGCATGAGGTATTGATACAGACCCTGCAGGTGCCACGGGTTGAATGACTGAGATGACCGGTAGATGCACACCAGCTGTACCCCCTACTGTGCCAGGCTAGGTGCATGAGGTCTCGATACAGACCCTGCAGGTGCCACGGGTTGAATGACTGAGATGACCGGTAGATGCACCACTAGCTGTACCCCCTACTGTGCCAGGCTAGGTGCAGGAGGTCTCGGGACAGACCCAGCAGGTGCCACGGGTCGACTGACTGAGATGACCGGTAAATGCACCACCACCTGTGCCCGCTACTGTGCCAGGCTAGGTGCAGGAGGTTTCGGGACAGACCCAGCAGGTGCCACGGATCGACTGACTGAGATGACCGGTAGATGCACCACCACCTGTGCCCGCTACTGTGCCAACTCGCTGTGTTTTAGCCGCCCGGCGCTCCGCTCGTTGTTGTGAGCGTCGCTCCTCCCCCCTCCGTTGTTGCTGGAGGGCGACTGCCTCCAACTGCCCAGTGTTGTATACTAACCCTTCTTCCAAAATTGAGATTAATAATATTTGATGATATTTTTATATATTATCTTTTTACTTGTTTTTTTTAATGAATGAAACACACCAAAGCGCAGCAAACTGCAAAACACCAGGTGTTGTTAAGTAATGAACTGGAGGAGGGCTAGGATGGCAGAATTTGCAACCTTGCTTCAAGGAAAGATAAGGCCTGATGAACGGGCACATGTCACCCGTGCAGGCGGCAGAGACAGTGGGAGTGTCAGCCAGACATAGTTAAGGCAAAAAGCCCAACCATCCTGCATGGTTTTAAAGTAACGTCAAAATTCGAAATTCAACAACAGAGTAGGCTAAATAATCGATCCTCGCGCTCGCTCAAATTGGAGACCAGGCTGTGTTGTATACTAACCCTTCCTCCAAAATTGAGATTAATAATATTTGATGATTTTTATATATTATCTTTTTACTTGTTTTTTTAAACACACCAAAGCGCAGCAAACTGCAAAACACCAGGTGTTGTTAAGTGATGAACTGGAGGAGGGCTAGGATGGCAGAATTTGCAACCTTGCTTCAAGGAAAGATAAGGCCTGATGAACGGGCACATGTCACCCGTGCAGGCGGCAGAGACAGTGGGAGTGTCAGCCAGACATAGTTAAGGCAAAAAGCCCAACCATCCTGCATGGTTTTAAAGTAACGTCAAAATTCGAAATTCAACAACAGAGTAGGCTAAATTATCGATCCTCGCGCTCGCTCAAATTGGAGACCAGGCTGCGAGCTACATCAATGAACCATTGCCCATTTGCTAATCCAATACTGAATGTTAATATTACTGAAGTCAAAACGAATTCTATGACCTCAGCACATGGGCAAATAATAGGGCAGTGTCGACTCAAAGGCAATGGAAGAAAGCAGAGGCGCCTTTGTCTAAATCACAACCACAGAAAGCCAGGAATCATCACTGATTGTGTGTTTAGGGATTCCGAGCTAGTTGGAACACGTGCACACAGGGGGGAGGTAGAAGTACGCCTTGTCCTCCTGCAGCTGAGGGAACAAAGATAAACCCAAAAAGGCCAAGGAATGAAATTATTAAATCCAGGGTGAGTGGTCAAATGAAGTGGGTCAGCTCAGGGCTGTGTGCACAGGGGAGGGAGCTGATTTAAACAACCCTGCACGTCTGAACGTGAGGGGGCCTTTGACCTGAAATTAAGAATAACACTCCCAGAGCAGAAGGTTGGATGGCCACAGTGAGACGAGAATAAGAGTGTTGTATATCTCTCAAGGATGCAGACCCAGCTGAACAACAAGGCTGCGGGGGTCACCAGAAGTTCGCGTTCGCCTAGTTAAGACAAAAAGCTCAATTATTCTGTATTGCTATTAAAGTAACGTTAAAGTCGGAATTTAACAACAGGGTAGGCTAAAGTTATTGATATTCACACCCACTCCAATTAATGATGTGGTGGTGATGATGGTGATGATGGTGATGATGATGATGGTGGTGGTGATGGTGATGATGGTAATGATGGTGGTGATGATGATGGTGGTGGTGATGGTGATGATGGTAATGATGGTGGTGATGATGGTGATGATGATGGTGGTGATGATGATGATGATGATGGTGGTGGTGATGGTGGTGATGATGATGGTGATGATGATGGTGGTGATGATGGTGATGACGGTGATGATGTGATAGTGATGTGTGATGGTGATGATGGTGGTGGTGATGATGATAATGGTGGTGATGATGGTGGTGATGGTGATGATGATGGTGGTGATGATGATGATGGTGGTGGTGATGATGGTAACTTTTCTCAAAGTCGCGTACAGTATACAACTGGCTGCACGCGCGCGCCGTTTACAGTGCGAGCGCAGTACACAGCGCGTACAGTGTGCACGGTGCGTACAGTGTGCACGGTGCGTACAGTGTGCACGGCGCGTACAGTGTGCACGGCGCGTACAGTGTGCACGGCGCGTACAGTGTGCACGGCGCGTACAGTGTGCACGGCGCGTACAGTGTGCACGGCGCGTACAGTGTGCACGGCGCGTACAGTGTGCACGGCGCGTACAGTGTGCACGGCGCGTACAGTGTGCACGGTGTAAAAGTAAACTCACAGCGCGGTCTCGGCGCAGGGCCCAGGCGATAGGCGCGGACGAGAGAGGCGCCTCTGTGTCGCCTCCTCGACTTCTATCATCCAGCCCCGCCGGACGGGACGACTCTCGCCGCTCTCTCTCTCGCGCGACTTCTCGAGACAGCGAGACACGGAGAGACACACAGAGGGAGAGAGACACGGAGAGAGAGACAGAGAGAGAGAGACACACACGGAGAGACACACAGAGGGAGACACACACACAGAGACACACACAGAGATACACACAGAGAGACACACAGAGGCACCCACACACAGCGAGAGACACACAGAGAGACACACAGATAGACACAGAGAGATACACACAGAGAGACACACAGAGGCACCCACACACAGCGAGAGACACACAGATACACACACAGATACACACAGAGAGACACACAGAGAGACACAGAGAGGCACCCACACACAGCGAGAGACACACAGATACACACACAGATACACACAGAGAGACACACAGAGAGACACAGAGAGGCACCCACACACAGCGAGAGACACACAGATACACACAGAGATACACACAGAGAGACACACAGAGAGACACACAGAGGCACCCACACACAGCGAGAGACACACAGATACACACACAGATACACACAGAGAGACACACAGAGAGACACAGAGAGGCACTGGGGACACTTTCGCGTGCTGCGGCTCCGGGCTAAGAGCGCTCGCGCTGTGGCAGCAGCAGCGGCGCCCTCGTGGCCGGGCGCTCGCGATTGGCCAGAGCGGCGAGCCACGTGACGAGGCGGAGGCCGCCACCAAAGGCAAAGGTGGCCCGCATAGCCTCCAGGGGATTTAGGGGCAAGTGCTGTAGGCAAAGGTGGCCCGCGTAGCCTGTAACAGGCTGTAGGGGCAAGTGCTGTTAGCGAGCAGCGCCTTTGACGGCCGGCACGGCACACGAGGGGGTGGGTGGCCAACAGCGCGCACGCCCGGTCGCCTTTGTCTCCCCAGTGGCGATCTTTACTACACACCGCACCAGGTACTCATTGGAGGCCGAGTCGACCTAGGGGAGGCCCAGGACCTGTTCAAGATAATAGCCGTCACTAGTAGCGCGCAGCGCGCTAACCGTTGCACCACCGCTCCCCCACCGATACCACAGAGACGTCACCACGGCGCCCGTGCCAGGCTAGGTGCACTTTGAGGCTATCACGTGAAGCGTTGAAGGCTCGCTGACCAGGAGGTCTCGGGACAGACCCTGCAGGTGCCACGGGTCGACTGACTGAGATGACCGGTAGATGCACACCAGCTCTACCCCCTACTGTGCCAGGCTAGGTGCATGAGGTATTGATACAGACCCTGCAGGTGCCACGGGTTGAATGACTGAGATGACCGGTAGATGCACACCAGCTGTACCCCCTACTGTGCCAGGCTAGGTGCATGAGGTCTCGATACAGACCCTGCAGGTGCCACGGGTTGAATGACTGAGATGACCGGTAGATGCACCACTAGCTGTACCCCCTACTGTGCCGGGCTAGGTGCAGGAGGTCTCGGGACAGACCCAGCAGGTGCCACGGGTCGACTGACTGAGATGACCGGTAAATGCACCACCACCTGTGCCCGCTACTGTGCCAGGCTAGGTGCAGGAGGTTTCGGGACAGACCCAGCAGGTGCCACGGATCGACTGACTGAGATGACCGGTAGATGCACCACCACCTGTGCCCGCTACTGTGCCAACTCGCTGTGTTTTAGCCGCCCGGCGCTCCGCTCGTTGTTGTGAGCGTCGCTCCTCCCCCCTCCGTTGTTGCTGGAGGGCGACTGCCTCCAACTGCCCAGTGTTGTATACTAACCCTTCTTCCAAAATTGAGATTAATAATATTTGATGATATTTTTATATATTATCTTTTTACTTGTTTTTTTTAATGAATGAAACACACCAAAGCGCAGCAAACTGCAAAACACCAGGTGTTGTTAAGTAATGAACTGGAGGAGGGCTAGGATGGCAGAATTTGCAACCTTGCTTCAAGGAAAGATAAGGCCTGATGAACGGGCACATGTCACCCGTGCAGGCGGCAGAGACAGTGGGAGTGTCAGCCAGACATAGTTAAGGCAAAAAGCCCAACCATCCTGCATGGTTTTAAAGTAACGTCAAAATTCGAAATTCAACAACAGAGTAGGCTAAATTATCGATCCTCGCGCTCGCTCAAATTGGAGACCAGGCTGTGTTGTATACTAACCCTTCCTCCAAAATTGAGATTAATAATATTTGATGATTTTTATATATTATCTTTTTACTTGTTTTTTTAAACACACCAAAGCGCAGCAAACTGCAAAACACCAGGTGTTGTTAAGTGATGAACTGGAGGAGGGCTAGGATGGCAGAATTTGCAACCTTGCTTCAAGGAAAGATAAGGCCTGATGAACGGGCACATGTCACCCGTGCAGGCGGCAGAGACAGTGGGAGTGTCAGCCAGACATAGTTAAGGCAAAAAGCCCAACCATCCTGCATGGTTTTAAAGTAACGTCAAAATTCGAAATTCAACAACAGAGTAGGCTAAAGTATCGATCCTCGCGCTCGCTCAAATTGGAGACCAGGCTGCGAGCTACATCAATGAACCATTGCCCATTTGCTAATCCAATACTGAATGTTAATATTACTGAAGTCAAAACGAATTCTATGACCTCAGCACATGGGCAAATAATAGGGCAGTGTCGACTCAAAGGCAATGGAAGAAAACAGAGGCGCCTTTGTCTAAATCACAACCACAAAAAGCCAGGAATCATCACTGATTGTGTGTTTAGGGATTCCGAGCTAGTTGGAACACGTGCACACAGGGGGGGAGGTAGAAGTACGCCTTGTCCTCCTGCAGCTGAGGGAGCAAAGATAAACCCAAGAAGGCCAAGAAATTAAATTAAGTGGGTCAGCTCAAGGCTGTGTGCACAGGGGAGGGAGCTGATTTAAACAACCCTGCACGTCTGAACGTGAGGGGGCCCTGGACCTGAAATTAAGAATAACACTCCCAGAGCAGAAGGTGATACACGGTGAGACGAGAATAAGAGGGTTGTATATCTCTCAAGGATGCAGACCCAGCTGAACAACAAGGCTGCGGGGGTCACCAGAAGTTCGCGTTCGCCTAGTTAAGACAAAAAGCTCAATTATTCTGTATTGCTATTAAAGTAACGTTAAAGTCGGAATTTAACAACAGGGTAGGCTAAAGTTTGATATTCACACCCACTCCAATTAAACCAGGTCACAAGTACGCCTACTGAACCATCACCATCATTAAGTCAATATGAAATGTTATTTCCATACTTTAATGCTTTCTATACAACTCGACCCGAAGCATATGCATGAAAAGACAAAAGTAAAACTTATGAAAAGCCAGGATAACGGGATGAATCACCACCAGGTCGAATATAAATACATAATAAAAAAACGATGTTAAACCCAGGGTCGGAGAGAAAGGGAGATCCCGGCCGTATTTGTATCTCCGCCGCGCGGGATAGGAGTGTGTATACGCTCGGGGAAACACCTCCACTTGAGTCAAGCACCACGATGGGAAACGACAGACCTTAGGTTACATACAGAATCATAACTGTGAAATAGTAAGGGACAAATGTTAACTTAAAACTTCTTAACCATTTCTTTGTGCGCCGGGTCGGAGAGAGTGTTGCCCCTCCCTCCAGGTGGTGCAACACGAACAAAGACGCCTATGAGACGATTTGTAACGTCTGTGTTTTGGGTTCATGAAGAAGGCCAGACAAGAGATAATATTGCACCCAGACAGAGAGACGACCTCGAGGCAATTTGTAACACCTGATTGTTTGCTCGTGGGTTTTATGGAGGGAGTGGGACAACGGAATACCGTGAGTGATGCACACAAGGACATACGGACGTACGGACACACACATGGACACACCTGCCTACGGACAGATCCTGACACAGCAAAAATCGAAAAGAAGCCCCGCCTTGTGGGCGGGATCCAGGGGGATTTTTTGGCATAAAGGAAAGGATCCTGAGCATTGGAAATTAGTGCGACCAGCGGGTCGGCTCACGGGGGGAGTGCGACCAGCGGGTCGGCTCACGTGGGGGGTGCGACCAGCGGGTCGACTCAGGAACAAGCTGCGACCAGCGGGTCGGCTCGACTCATCTTCAGCTCGTCTGGGACTCAGCCGAGTTCGATCGGCTTGCCAAAGCCGGCTCTCGGGGCTCGACTCAAGCGGCTCCCCATCTCCTCTGCAGGCGGGCAAGACCCGCTTGACAGCTCAACTCGGCCTGCGTGGGTCAACCTCTGCCGAGTCGGAGGTCTCTGCTGCCGCCGGAGTGGTGAGAGTCGCGGTTTGGCGACGAGGCTCGCGGTTCGGCGACGACCCAGCACTGCATGCTGCGAGCGAGTTGTGGGCGCCACCTACCGACCGGGTTCCGAACTGCGACAGCGTATCAACGGGCATCCGAACCAGTTCCCCACGGTGACAGGGGAGCGACTGATACGTATGACGCGCACCGCCCCCTCACCACACGACCACCAGGCGTCTGTTTGACATAAAGAATCGACTCCGAACACTGACTATTCAAGACAACTCTTACCACTCAAACACACTCGAACCCATAAGCCATCTGTGGCTGGGAAGGCATCACAACGAGACCGAATGATGGCCATCCGTCGTTTATAAAAGTATTCGTAATTTTTATCTTTAATATTTAGTGGGCTGTACTCTTAATCGCATAAATTCCCAACAGATCCATCAATACGAACTGATTTTTGGCACCTCCTTCCGCCGAGCCACGCTCACGTGGGGAGTAGTGGCCACCGGATCCTTATCAGGTGATCTGGTCCCCAATTAGTAAACTTGGTATAAGATAACGATCTTCGGAAAAGGAGCACCGTCGCAGGCCCTTACTCCGAGCCGTTCTGTTGTCAGATAACCTGCCGATGTATCTGTTGAGATTGGTGCCTTTAAGAATAATAACTGTTTTTGATTGTGTTTTTTTATCGCCGTATAATCTTTCAAGTATCTTTCAGTCATAATCGCCGCACGTACTCGCATCCTCTACAGAATATTCAACTGTCCCGTGACCCAAGGTGCTAACAACGTGATAAGGGTTGCGTATGATCAATAAGGAGTGCGGTACTGCGTGAACAAAATTGAGTATAATCATTCATTAACGTTAAGGTTTTCTTAGCATAGTATTTGCATATTTTAACGACTCTCTCACTAACAACCATCGCGTTATGCGGGATCCATGTGCCGTTGTCAAAGTGAAATCAGACAATCGTTGATGATACTGTATTGATGCCGTGTTGACGTTCCGGGATTGAGAGTTCGCATACTATATCATAGTTAAGGTTGAATTAGTAATAAATTGATCAATACAGAAGTGGTTGTGTGATTCTTTCCTGAAATCTATGCATAAGATCTGCTTCTGCGTTGAGATCTGAACTTGGTGACCTTAATAAACACACTAACACATACTCAGTAAATGTTAAAGCGATAACGGGGTGAACCGGGGACCTAAAATATAACCACGAATACACACTCTGGGAATGTTAAATCGAGAATGAGACGAACCTAGACAACGATGCCGAGTTAATTTAAGTTAATCTTGCATACTTACACCACACCTGCATAACTGCATACGATTAATTGCCTTATTCCGATCGATAACCCACCCTCATCACCGAGGCGGGGTCTGGTTATCATAACGACTTGCATTATCATAATTACACCCACTCGCATAATTAATACGATTACCTCTCGAATTGGTATAATTAAAATGTGCATAATTACATAAATTAACATATTTCCGGATAATTACACATTTGGCCAAATTTCATTTAATTATTATTATTTTCACTGAATATTCATAACCCACATATACAACATAATAATTTCACCCACGCACGCATACAACATAACAAATTTTGATAACCAACATATACAACAGCTGCGAGCTACATCAATGAACCATTGCCCATTTGCTAATCCAATACTGAATGTTAATATTACTGAAGTCAAAACGAATTCTATGACCTCAGCACATGGGCAAATAATAGGGCAGTGTCGACTCAAAGGCAATGGAAGAAAGCAGAGGCGCCTTTGTCTAAATCACAACCACAGAAAGCCAGGAATCATCACTGATTGTGTGTTTAGGGATTCCGAGCTAGTTGGAACACGTGCACACAGGGGGGAGGTAGAAGTACGCCTTGTCCTCCTGCAGCTGAGGGAACAAAGATAAACCCAAAAAGGCCAAGGAATTAAATTATTAAATCCAGGGTGAGTGGTCAAATGAAGTGGGTCAGCTCAAGGCTGTGTGCACAGGGGAGGGAGCTGATTTAAACAACCCTGCACGTCTGAACGTGAGGGGGCCTTTGACCTGAAATTAAGAATAACACTCCCAGAGCAGAAGGTTGGATGGCCACAGTGAGACGAGAATAAGAGTGTTGTATATCTCTCAAGGATGCAGACCCAGCTGAACAACAAGGCTGCGGGGGTCACCAGAAGTTCGCGTTCGCCTAGTTAAGACAAAAAGCTCAATTATTCTGTATTGCTATTAAAGTAACGTTAAAGTCGGAATTTAACAACAGGGTAGGCTAAAGTTATTGATATTCACACCCACTCCAATTAAACCAGGCCACAAGTTACGCCTACTGAACCATCACCATCATTAAGTCAATATGAAATGTTATTTCCATACTTTAATACTTTCTATACAACTCGACCCGAAGCATATGACAATCAGAACCTTCCTAAGTCAAAATTGAATCGCACCCAGACAGGAGCGAATAGTCGATATAAGGTTGAAGAGGGAAGGAAATTAAGAGCACGGCGAACTGCAAACGTAAGCAAAAAGCCGGGAACGACACCAGCCCAGCAACAGCGAGTCGGGCTTCGACAGGCCATAAAAGTAGAAATAATAACTCCCGGGGTCAGGGGACACAAGAAGAAGCAGGCAGACAAAAACCAGAACTGACTCCAAGGTTCAACCGCCCTCACCTACAAGGAGTGACGGAAATTAATGAGGCCTTGAGTTAACGGCGTCAGCTGGACAGCAACAACAACGGCGAGCAGAGATAGGGTGGGGCAAAGACTGCGGGGCTATGGAATGCAACTTCGTGTCAGTAAAGCCCTGACAAACAAGTTAAGTTAAAGACATCACAATACATAATATCGTACATAACATCAATGTTAACGCTATTCACCGTAAACTATATTCCGCTTATATAACCATGCAGACACCAAGGAATACGAATTCCTAGGATCAAGAAACTTACCCCTTAACCTAAGATATCGGAAATAAATTAATAATAATAAGCATATGCATGAAAAGACAAAAGTAAAACTTATGGAAAAGCCAGGATAACGGGATGAATCACCACCAGGTCGAATATAAATACATAATAAAAAAAAACGATGTTAAACCCAGGGTCGGAGAGAAAGGGAGATCCCGGCCGTCTTTGTATCCCCGCAGCGCGGGATAGGAGTGTGTATACGCTCGGGGAAACACCTCCACTTGAGTCAAGCACCACGATGGGAAACGACAGACCTTAGGTTACATACAGAATCATAACTGTGAAATAGTAAGGGACAAATGTTAACTTAAAACTTTTTAACCATTTCTTTGTGCGCCGGGTCGGAGAGAGTGTTGCCCCTCCCTCCAGGTTGTGCAACACGAACAAAGACGCCTATGAGAC